ACCATTCAGAAAGGAAATCTCCCCAAACACCTTGGTTCTAGCTTGGTGTAACCTATGTATAGCTCTGATCATAGTATTTTAAGGTGAGTTCTGTTATTTAAAATCAGTAAGTTTTTGAGCACAATAGTAGCCTGAGCCTTGTAATTCCAGTACTTGAGCTGCTAGCATAGAATAGGTAGAGTTACAGCCTGGGCTGTGCAGATAGACAATGTCTCAAAACAAACAAACAAACAAAAACCACCAAAACACTCTCTCTCTCTCTCTCTCTCTCTCTCTCTCACACACACACACACACACACACACTCTAGAAATACTTGCACGGTTTATTGTACTAATAAGAAACAAAAAGCTTATAATCTTTCAATATAGTATATATTAATAGTAAAATTGGAACTGCCATAAGAACAAATAGGTCACTCCACAAAAATGAATTCTAACTTTAAAACAGTGAAAACAGAAAGCAATTAAATATAAGTGTTTAACAACATCCCAGAGATGCAGGGATGGTTCAATATATGGAAATCCATCAATGTAATCCACTATATAAACAAACTCAAAGAAAAAAACCACATGATCATCTCACTAGATGCTGAGAAAGCATTTGACAAAATTCAACATCCCTTCATGATAAAAGGCTTGGAAAGATCAGGAATTCAAGGCCCATACCTAAACATAGTAAAAGCAATATACAGCAAACCAGTAGCCAACATCAAACTAAATGGAGAGAAACTTGAAGCAATCCCACTAAAATCAGGGACTAGGCTGACCACTCTCTCCCTACCTATTCAATATACTACTCTTCTAGCCAAAGCTATTAGACAACAAAAGGAGGTCAAAGAGATACAAATAGGAAAGGAAGAAGTCAAAATATCACTATTTGCAGATGATATGATAGTATACTTAAGTGACTCCAACACTTCCACCAGAGAACTCCTAAACCAGATAACAACTTCAGCAAAGTGGTAGGATATAAAATTAACTCAATCAAATCAGTATCCTTCATCTACTCAAAGGATAAACAGTCTGAAAAGGAAGACGTATGGGTACAGGGGAAATTTTCCTGAACAGAACACCAATGGCTTATACTCTAAGATTAACAATCAACAAATGGACCCCCAAAAATTGAAAAGCTTCTATAAGGCAAGGAATACTGTCAATAGGATAAAATGGCAACCAACAGATTGGGTAAACATCTTTACCAATCGTACATCTGATAGAGGGCTAATACCAATATATACAAAGAACTCAAGAAGTGAGACTCCAAAGAACCAAATAACATTATTAAAAAATGGGGTACAGAGCTAAACAAAGAATTTTCAACTGAGTAATCTTGAATGTGTGAGAAGCACCTAAAGAAATGTTCAACATCCTTATTCATCAGGGAAATGCAAATGTGATTTCACCTCACACCAGTCAGAATGGCTAAGATCAAAAACTCAGGTGACAACAGATGTTGGTGAGGATGTGGAGAGAGGAACATTCCTCCATTGCTGGTAGGATTGCAAGCTGGTACAATCACTCTGGAAATCAGTCTTTCAATTCCTCAGAAAATTGGACATAGCATTACTTGAGGACCCAGCTATAACACTCCTGGGCATATCCTCAAAAGATGCTCCAACATATAACAAGGACACATGTTCCACTACGTTCATAGCAGCCTTATTTATAATAGCCAGAAGCTGATGTCCCTCAAATCCAGATGTCCCTCAAAAGAGGAATAGATACAGAAAATGTGGTACATTTACACAATGGAAGACTACTAAGCTATTAAAAACAATGATGAAATTCACAAGCAAATGGATGGAACTAGACAATATCATCCTGAGTAAGGTATCCCAGTCACAAAAGAACACACATGGTATGTACTCACTGATAATTGGATATTAGTCCAAAAGTTTGGAATACCCAAGATACAATTCACAGACCATATGAAGCTCAAGAAGAAGGAAGATCCAAGTATGGATGCCTCAGTCCTACTTAGAAGGAGGAACAAAAAATCAAAGGAGATATAGGATAGAAAGGACTTGGGAGGAAGAGAGGAGGGTGAAGGGGAAGGGGGGGGGGATAGGATCAGGCATGGGAGGAAATGAAGATGTACAGAGGACCAGGAAATTGAACAGAGGTGTGTAGCAATAGGGGATGGAGAACTGGGGGTAGCCACCAGAAAGTCCCCGATGCCAGGAAAGCAAGAGGTTCCCACGACCCAATGGGGATGCATTACCTAAAATACCCAACTAAGGGGAGAGAGAACCTGTAGAGACCATATTCAGAAGTTAGGCATCGCCCCTAGTTGGGGGATAGGGCCACCCACCCATCTCCAAAATTTTAACCCAGAATTGCTCCTGTTTAAAGGAAATATAGGGACAAAGAGTAGACCAGAGACTGAAGCAAAGGGCATCCAGAGACTGTCCCACCTGGGGATCCATCCTATATGCAGACACCAAACTCAGACACTATTGCTAATGCCAAGAAGTGCTTGTTGGCAGGAGCCTGATATAGCTGTCTCTGAGAGGCTCTGCCAGAGCCTGACAAATACAGATGTGGATGTTCGCAGCCAACCATTGGATTGAACATGTTGTCCCCAAAGGAGGAGTTAGAGAAAGGACTGAAGGAGCAGAAGGGGTTGCAACCCCATAGGAAGAACAATATCAACCAACTAGACCCCCCCTAGAGCTCCCAAGGACTAAACCACCAACCAAATAGTTCACAGGGAGGGACCCATGGCTCCAGCTGCATATGTAGCAGAGGATGGCCTTATCCGGCATCAATGGGAGGGGAGGCCCTTGGTCCTGTGAAGGCTCGATGTCCCAGTGTAGAGAAATGTCAGGGGATGTGGCTGCAGTGGATGGGTGGTTAAAGCATCACCCTCACAGAAGCAGGGGGAGAGAGGATAGGATAGGGAGTTTGTGGAGGGGAAACCTGTAAAGGGGATAACATTTGAAATGTAAGTAAAATAATAATATTAATAATGTGTTTTATGTTGTGTTTTCTCCATAATTACTAGGTTCTTGAAAATGCGTAATTACTATATAGCATCTTGTTTAAACTTTTGTTCACTTTAAAAAAAAAAACAAAACAAAACCCAAGGTATCACTATATAGCCATAGCTGGCCTGGAACTCAGATCTGCCTGCCTCTGCCTATGACTAAAGGCCTGCAACACAACATCCAGCTATTTTACATTTATACACACTGAGATTTAAAAAAAAGTTTGCATATCTTTTTAAGAAAGGAACACAGTTTTTACCCACAACATAGTCAGTTTTGTTTTCTGTGGCAGTACTGGGGGTTGAACCCTTGGCCACATGCTTACCAGGTAAACACTCTACCACTGATTTGCTAGCCCTCACGTTGAAACTTAAAAACATTATCTGAGGACCTAGGCCAGTGGTTAAGACCAAACCCTACTCTTCCAGGGAACTAGAGTTCAGTTCCCAGCACCCACGTCTGGTGTCTGGTAACCATCTGTAACTCCTGCTCTACCTTGTCTGACCTCTATATAGGTACCTGCACATCCATAGCGTGCACACACACAAAGACAGAGAGGGGGGAGGGGGAGAGGGGGAGGGAGAGGGAGAGGATATGAATGAATATCCTTGTGAGGAAAATCACGCCGGGCGGTGGTGGCGCCTTTAATCCCAGCACTTGGGAGGCAGAGGCAGGCGGATTTCTGAGTTCGAGGCCAGCCTGGTCTACAGAGTGAGTTCCAGGACAGCCAGGGCTATACAGAGAAACCCTGTCTCAAAAAACCAAAAAAAGAAAAAAGAAAATCACAAGCTGGAGACCAGTCAAGGCTAGTTCAAAAGAAAATATTTCTTAAGGCTGAAATGAGACATCTCCAAAAAGAAAATTAAGTTATCATGTAGGCATTACTAAATGGTTAAAAAGAACAAGGCATGTGTGGTATCTCACATCTATAACCCCAGCATTTGAAGGCTCATTCTACATACATAGTAAATTCCAGACTAGGTTGGGCTATATAGCAAATACCTAACTCAAAAAAATAAAAATGTCAAAAGGACTGCATAAATTTAATTAATTTTTGCAATTATTCTAAAACCATGGTGCAACGAACGAAGGATTTTGTAAAGGTCCTATTGAGTTCTAGCGATTTTACTTTGAAAGAAAATACTTCAGTCTTGCACGCTCATACAACTTTGGATAAAAATGACTATCAAATGTGGGGGTCATTTTCCAACACCTGTTTTAAAACATCGTCCTCAAATGCTAGGAAAAGAGCACTGTAAACATCTACCAGTCCCATAGACTGCACGGGAGGATGACTTCACGCACGGAGAGAAACGCTGAGCCCTCCATCTGAGAGCAGGTAAAATGGGGACCTTACCCACCCTGCACTGCGGAGCTAGTGCTCAGCACGCACTCCTGCCCCAGGCTACGGATCAGCTGGTAACTGGCCCCGGCAGCATTGCAGCGGTCTGCTGCGGACACGAACTCCTGCAGCTGCAGTAGCCAGCACCGCACGCCAGTCCCCGCGTCCGCCATAACGCCGACACCGCTTCGCGCATGCGTCTCAGCCCCTCTCCAGCTCTCCCCTGAAGGCCCTTCGGGAACTGCTCCCTTATCCTCTCGCGGGAGGGGGTGAAGGCGCGCAGCTGCCTACAACTCTGTAGCGCTTAACTTGTGCACATCGGAACACAAACGGACAGAACCAGTCTAGCCAAGCGAGATACAACAGATCGGTGCTTGTACTCGGGACAGCTCTGATCACGCACAAGGGGGTTGAGCTCCCCGCGGGTTTCCCGCCAAAGCACAATCCCGCTGCAGGCTGGCCCATCCGAAGCGAGGGGTGTGCAAAGTGAATCGTGGCTTTTAACCTAGGTAGCGGTTAAGAACTCCCCCGCCGGCTGGCAGTGGCGCCTTCCGGAGGCGGAGCTACACGCCCTTGCCTCTATGATTGGTCGGATGCCTTCTCTCAGGGCACACGTACTTCTGAGCCAGGGCGCGCAGTGGCGCTTTCCGGAGGCGGAGCCACGTGCACTGGCCTCTTTGATTGGCCAGGGGCCGCTGGGCGCTGTGACGACAGAGCGGCTGGCGGGAATCGCTTCGATCTGCGGGCCCAGGAACGCTGCCTTGGTTGGCTGCGGAGCTCTCACTTTTCTCGAGTTCTCGTTTGTAGCTAACCCGGATCCGAGGTACGAGGGGTCCCGGAGCGGAACAACTAAGAACCAGATTCCTCTTGTCGCGTAGCTCGCAACATCATGTCGTCCCCGGCGTCCACCCCGAGCCGCCGCAGCAGCCGACGCGGACGAGTCACCCCAACCCAGTCCCGTGAGTTCCCTCCCTCATCTGTCCCCCTTTCCGCCTCGAGTCTCTTCCCGCAGCACTGTGGAATGTCCTGAGTCCTTCGAGCCTGGTGTGTGATTGACAGACCTTGGGCATATAGTAGCCTCCGTTCACCAAGATATAAATGACTCTGAGCGCTCGTTTCCAGGTTCTCTGGCGTCGTGTGTTCAGTTGGTTCAAAATGCCTACACCTTTTCCCTCTGTTCCACTTCGGGGGTTTGGGGGAGGGGTTGTCGTTTTGAAGTAATAAGACTACCCTAAAAGGCACTTCCTGGAGACTAAGCATGAGCGTTGATAGTCTTTTTCTGTTTTGTATTACGGAAGTTCGTAGTGAAGAAAACAGCAGGTCGTCTCCCAATCGTAGACGTAGAGGCGAAGATTCTTCCACCGGAGAGCTGCCACCAATGCCCACCTCACCAGGAGCGGACCTGCAGAGCCCAACTGCACAGAATGCCTTGTTTTCCAGCCCTCCTCAGATGCATTCTTCAGGTGGGTCAGCTATCAGTTTTGCTGGTTTAACAGTTGCTATGATCCCTAAACATTTTTCTGTGTAAGCTGGTAGATTCTTCACTGAAATACCTGAGGTGTGAAGCAGAGTTGGTACATATTAGGACCTAGTAAGCAAAGAAAGTATATTTTATAGTAGAACTACATTTTGGCTATGAAAAATTGCAATAAGTATTCTGTTTAAATTGGCAAACAGCATTCTGAAATTAGGTTCTGATGTGCTGTTGCTGTGGTGATTTCACAGTAAAGCTAAATACATTGTTTTTATAGCTATTCCTTTGGACTTTGATGTTAGTTCACCATTGACATATGGCACTCCCAGCTCTCGAGTGGAAGGAACCCCAAGAAGTGGGGTGAGAGGCACACCTGTGAGGCAGAGGCCAGACCTGGGCTCAGCACGAAAGGGTTTGCAGGTGGATCTGCAGTCTGATGGAGTAAGTACAAAGCAGATCTCTGATGGTGTTATGTTGGGAGCATAAAGTAGGTCATTTCATTTACAGGTTTCTATTCTATCTTTCTCTATAGGCAGCAGCAGAAGACACAGTAGCAAGTGAACAGTCTCTAGGCCAAAAACTTGTGATTTGGGGAACAGATGTGAATGTGGCGACGTGCAAAGAAAATTTTCAGGTAACTTAATGTATGCTAAAACTCAGTCTAGAGTGGTAAACACTTGAGCACTAAAACAGAGGATTGCTGCAAGTTCAAGGCCAGCCTGGGCTGTTTACTGAGATCCTTGTCTCAAGCCCAAAAGACAAATATTATTTTTGTGCAGATAGCTATACAACTCAGGTTGTCAGGTTCTAGTCAAGCATCCTTAATTACTGACCATCTTGCTGGGTTTTTTTTGCATTTTAATAGTAGTTACATATTTCTAAGTTCATTAACACTTAATATTGTTTCTCTAATTCAAGAGATTCCTTCAGTGTTTTACCGATCCTCTGGCCAAAGAAGAAGAAAATGTTGGCATAGATATTACTCAACCTTTGTACATGCAACGACTTGCAGAGGTAATCAAATATGATTTACAAGTGAACGTTTTGTATTTTGAGATAATAGAATTAGTAAAAATATGACTTGTCCATATATCTTACAGATTAATATTACAGGAGAGCCATTTTTAAATGTGAACTGTGAACATATAAAATCATTTGGTAAAAATTTATATAGACAGCTCGTCTCCTACCCACAGGTAAGAATTTGACTTTGAGCTTCCTGATTATAGTAAATGTTCCTAGCAAGCAGAATTATATTGAGGTAAAAAGGATACTTGCAAAGGGTGACTCTTTCTTTCTTCCTCTCTTTCTTTCTCTCTTTCTTTCTTTCTTTCTTTCTTTCTTTCTTCCTTTTTTTAAACTGTTTTACTACAATTAAAATAAGGAGTGATTTTTTTTATATTTGCTAATTGGTAGTGTTTCTTAAAACTAAAGAGTCTTATTAGTGGTTTCTTGGATTTCGTGAAGTAGATTATCTTTTTTGGCTGGGGGATGGGGTAGTATTCCCCAGTGAGGCAGGATAGTATTCAAGAGTAGTTTTGTAGTTGAAGAGAACCTTGAACTATTGATTCTGTGGAGCCCAGAAGAGGGTTTCTGATCCCTGGAGCTGGAGTTAAAGGGGCTTACAACCCACCTGATAAAAGTGCTGAGACCTGAATCCTGTTGTCTAGCAGAGCAACAAGTGCTCTCAAATCTTGAGTCATCTCTTCATCCCCTACATCTTTATATTTGTTTTTACAGGAGGTTATACCAACCTTTGACATGGCTGTCAACGAGATCTTCTTTGACCGTTATCCTGATTCCATCTTAGAACATCAGATTCAAGTCAGACCTTTTAATGCATTGAAGACAAAGAGTATGAGAAACTTAAATCCAGAAGGTAATCTGTTTAGTAGTAGGAAAATGCCTGTGTAGAAAGAGATCTCAAGGACCGTGTAGTAGATAATGATAGCATTAAATTATAAGTTCAAAAAATTTATTCTGATTACTTTTATGAACTTGGTATGTGTGCTGTCCTGTAGGGCATTAAACAGGGGTCCAGGGAGGTTACCTGAAAGAGGGGGGTGGGGGGACAGGCAAAGATGCAAAGAAATGACGATTGACAGTCTGTCCATAGTCTGATCAGATCACAATTTTTACTTTTTCACACACAGGTTATATACACAAAAAGGCAGGATGTGGGGAAGGGGATGACACTGAAACGTAGGTGATCAGGGGGAGTACAGATATCTTCCAGAACAGAGTATCAGCTGGGTGAAGTCTCAGGGGACAGATCACTATGATTCACTTGTCCTTATCTAAGTTGGTACTACCAAGGCTACCTATCTACAAGGTCTATGTATTCAGCCTGGCAATTTTCCACCAACGCTGCCTGTTTACAATAGCTTCTAGGCATCTGTTTCAGTGTTTTTCCACAGAGACCCAAGACTTTGTGTTAGCATGCATGTATGTCAGGCCTATTGCTGGTTTTAGGCCTATGACTGATTTTAGGCCTTCAGTGTATAAGCAGGGCTGCCCCTGACAATTCCCCCTCTCTCCAAGTATAGAAGGACCGTGGTGACTCCAGTTTTATAAAGGCGGGGATAGAGGCTTGACCTCCAGTAATTAAAGGGGACCTAGTAATGGCTCCAGTTCACCTGTCACTGTCCAGTGAGGCATGAGAGCCATACCCGTCCTGATGTCTTTTTCCTGGAGAAGGGGATATTTTTGACATCAACCCCTATGTAGTCAGGCTTGTTCCTCAGGGAACCTAGAAAGATATTTTTATCTTTTATTTATATTCCCTTGTGGTGCTTAGCCTCGCAGCCTAAGCAAGAATTTAGATCGCCGGTCAGAGGGGATTCTGGGTGGCCCCTCTCTGCTTGGTCTAGGGGTGGGAGTCCTCTCTTTTAGGTTGGGTGGAGATGGGTTTTGGGAACACCCTTGATAGAGTAGCAACCTCGTCTTGAGTCTTGTGGTCCTTCATAGCCAACTTATAATGTATCTGAATAGGTTTTGCTATCAAATCATCTATCTATTTCACAAAATTAGCCTATTTAAGGCCCAGGGATCAAAAGAAATAAGCCGTAGTAACCCAATTAATGGTCCCAAAATTGTAGGGAGTAGGGTTGACAACCATGGAGAGGTTGAAAACCAATTCTTGTACCAGCTCTCATCTTTCTCTCTCTCTCTCTCTTTCCCCCCCCCCCCCTCTTTTCTCAAGGCCTTCTCTGACCTTTTTCATGCTCTCTTTAACCATTCCTGTCTTGTCTATGTAAAAGCAGCATTCTTCTTTAAGGGCTATACACAGTCTAGAGCTATACACAGTCTTTTCTATTGTAGAAGGGTAAATCAAGTCCAATAAAGTCCTTTGCATTTTTGGAGATCACTTCAGACAGCAAAACGAGGGATTTCTTCAAATTAGTGATGTCAATCTCTAGCTGTTTGATGTCCTTGTCAATGGCCCATCGAAGGTCTGAGTAGTGTAAGTCTGGAGGCCAGCATCAGGATTAGAGCTTCCAACAGCAAACACCATGAGTGATTCATTTTTACCTGGAAAGGAAGAAGAGGGGAAATCTCAGGGAGATTTCTCTTCCCTGGATGTTAATTGTTGTTACTCATCTTATTTATAACTGGGCCTGTCTTTGCAGGGGTATCTATTTATTTCATTAATCTTTTTGGCAGACATCTAGCAGTACTTTCTTAGGTATCAAACAGGCATATCAATCCTCCGCCCCATATGAGAACTGGGTCCGGGCCGTTCCATTTAAAGATAAGAAGGTCCTCCCACATAACTGTGGCATAGTTTTTATTGGTCTCAGCATGTCAAAGGCAGTCAGCAACAGTTTTGTCATGAGCTTTCAGATTTAGAGAATTGAGAACAAACAAGGCATGAGTATTTCTGGGAGGTACCTTATGGGGGTGTGGCTCCCCCTCTTTTGTTTTTAAAAGCTAATTTTTTAGAGTTCTTAGTAAAGCCAGGGCAGAAGTGCCAACAGCCACTTCTCCCACACTCAGAGAGTCATGAAGACACTATTTTAAAGTTCCACAATATCTGTTTTACAATATCTTGAGGATTATAAGGAGTATAATCCTTGAGGATTATAAGGAATTTTAGTAACGTGTGTAATGCCAAATTGTCAACAAGACATCTCAAATGTCTGACTATAATAGTCAGTTTTGTTTATTTTAATCTGATATGGAACACCAAGTATAAAAAGAGATAGTATAGGCAATAACTAGTTGTACTTTTCCTGTTAAATTAATTGTAACTAGAAAGCCTGAAAAGGTGTCAAATCACGTATACATATTTTAATTTTTTAAAAAATAAAAAATGAGTAACACCTACTTGCCATAATTGATTAAGTATAAATCCTCAAGTATTAACACCATTATTAAAAAATTGAGGACACTAAAATCAAATTTTTATACTTTGACTTATACACTCTCTAAAACTACCAAATTGTTGTCTCAAGCTATTATTACTAAACATAGATCTATAAAAATGTACTATCTTGTGGTGATGTTACGTAGACAAATAGATGAGTAGATGACTTTTTAATTTTTGTTTGTTTGTTTTGTTTGTTTTTTGAGACAGGGTTTTTCTGTGTGGCCCTGGATGTTCTGGAACTCATTCTGTAGACCAGGCTGGCCTCGAACTCGGAAATCTGCCGTCCTCTGCCTCCCAAGTGCTGGGCTTAAAGGTGTGCGCCACCACGGCCCGGCCGACTTTTTAAATCTTAATGATGATCTTATAAAAGTTTTTAAAATTATACCCATGATTATTAAGCTCTTTTTATAACGAGACTGTTACTAGGTTCCTTTCTGATAGTCAAAACTGTGATAAGAATTTTGTCAGTCTCTCAAATAACATCAGTAAACTGTTTTTAGGTAATAACCAGACTTTTTTCACTCAGCATATTTTAAAAGGTTATAAAACAATTTGTGAAAGATAATTAAAAAGGAACCAACAATTTATTTTAGGTGTTAGGATGGAAAACAAAATACTGTCTGGGCTTATCTACACAAATCTTCACTGATAACTCAGTCATAGTTCTAAACCCTCAGTGAGCTCAGTTTATAATTTATATATATATATATATATATATGTATGTATGTATATATAAAAAATTTAATTTTTGGAATAAACTTGTAGCGAACTTTGTAACGTGTGATCACACATTTTAAAAATATGAATATTGAGGACAAAAGGATAAGAGGGCAAATATAATGGAGAGGTAAAGTAGAACTCTGTCTTTTTCCCACTTAGGATAGTATATAAAATAGAACCTTTTTCCCTTTCTCAAATAAAATAGAAGTTTTCTTTGTACTTTTTTTTTAGATAGCTTTCACAGAAAACCCCCTACTTCTAATAATAACGCCACAATAACTTTTTTAAGTGGCCTCAGACTAGCAGGCATAAGTCAGAGCCCAGCAGTTTTTTCCGAGACAAAACAAAAGCTGTTTACCTAATCTTTGGCTGTTTTTAGAATGAAGTGCTAAGTGTCAAAAACTGTAGTTTCTGGCCTCAAGGATCACAAAAGGCAGATCAGCTACAGTGGCATAGCAATCTAGATAGACAGATTTTTATTATATAATAACCCCAATGTAAAGAGCAAAATTGTATGGCCAATTGTTTTTGTAAGGTCTGTAATCTATCTGATACATAAATTTGTTATGGCATTTTTCTGGGGTCCAGACAATCCAATATGAGCTCTTAAATGTCTTATAAAATTAAGGAAAAATACATGTTTCTTAAATTGAGCTGTATTTGTAAAATTTGAAAATTAGCAATATCTAAAAAAGAAACAATTTTAAGCAATTATAAACCATAAGCCATATACTGGCTATGAGTATACCAATTGAAAGCTTAATTTTTGTATTTTAAATAGTGGCTACAGTATGTAGTTCAATTTTCTTTGTTGAAGTAGGGGAAACTCAAGAGAGTAAATATGTAATCTAATTATGTATATTGTCTTCTCATTAAATAAGCTGTCTATTAATATAGTAAACAGACCTCTTACGGGCTATATGTATATAAGTTCATAAAGAATATAAAGGCATATAGGGTGAAAACTGTGGTAAATTGATCGTATATTAGGCCAAATATCAGTGTTCTTTAATAACTAATTATATTATTTGGAATAAGAAATATTTCATTAAGTTCTTTCTTAAGACCTCGACCTATAATTTTGTATTAACACAACAACAGTTTTAAAACAGGATGTTAAAACTTCTTTTGGAAATAAATATAAATCTATATTAATAATTTTTTTATCAAAGGATTGTTATAAAACAGCCAACAACTAATTAATCTATATATCTATTAATAACAGCTTTTTCTGTTAATAATTTCTGTAAAATTATTTTTTTATCAGCCAATTGTAGAAAGAAATTAGGGTTTGTATCTCTCTTGAGAACATTAAACAGAGGCTTAAATTCTTTTGTGGAGAGCTTAAAATAAGATCTTAGCCAATTACCATCTCCTAGAAACTTTTGAAAATTTTAAATAAGTATTCTATCATTTCTAATTTGAGTTTTTTTGTGTCACAATTTATTTAGGAATATAACTGATGTCTCAAATATTGAAAAGATATTGTTTTTGGATGTTTTCTGAAACAATAAGCACTCTCTCAAATTTTAAAGCTTGTTGTATGAGAGCAAAGACTTGTATTAAAACTCTTTTAGAGGGATTAACTAATAAGCCAATTGTATAACAGAAGAAGGTGTTCTGGGATCATGTTTGATTCCAGATAAAACTTATTGAGATCTCTTTTGTACATCTGGCTTTTAGATGACTTTAACTCTGAATTACCAGTTTTAATCCAGCTTTAGTTACCAAACTTATAAATTTGTAATCATACCCAATAATATGTAACCAGGATGTATAGAACATATTTATATTTTTAATATCAATCAAGAATAAAAATAAATGTACATCTAAACAAATTTTTCTTACCTTTTTAGCTGTAATTATGAGAAAAGCCCCTTTCACTTATCTAACTGGGAAGAACCAATATCAATTCCTTTACTGTAGAAGCCAAAAAACTCCTGGCTTCCTTCCAGGAGCTGCTTGTGAAAACAGTTAACTCTTCCCAAGGTTCTTTCTGCCAGTGCCCCTCTCCCAGCCACAGAGCAGGGTAAATTATCAGTTCTTGTTGTGTAAATTTAGACTGTCTCCCAAGTAAGTTTTAAACTAAATCGAACAATCAGTTTTAATCAGTTTTTCTTTCAAACATAAAACATAGAACACAACAAATACTCAAACAACGAGACAAAGACAGACAATTGACACACATGGACAATATTGGCGCAACAGACAGTAGACAGAAAGCAGAACTGAGAGTCTCTCCTAGAGAGAGCCAGAGAGACTAGGGCGTCCCCAATCATCTCTTACTTCTCAGGAGGGCTCTGTAATAAGCTTTTTGTTTTTCTTTTGTTAACACACCAGAGGGCAGGCAACTCCTTTCACTTTTTCTCTCTCTCATTTTCAAGGTTTAACTTCTTATCTCCTCCTTAGGAGGTATAACATTTTTTATCAATAGTCTCCTCTTGGGAAAACAGTAATAAAAGTAAAGAATTTTTAAAGATTCTTTTTTTTTAACCCTAGTTCTCCATGTTCTGAAGATAGGCCCCTGGAGCTGTGTCACAAAGAGTGACTGCTTAGAAATATTTTCTTAACCCTAATTCTTTGCGCCCAGGGTGACTCACTCCTTCAGTGTCACAAGATATCTGTGTATGGGGGGCGGGGAGAGCTTTTACCTCAAAGCTGACACCACTCCAATCCTACCAAGGATTGTACCACAATTGGGTGGACTGTGGTATCCTTCTAAATGAGAGTGCTCTCAAGCAACTTAGGGGTTGGGGGGGAACATCTCACTTGGGTGCTCCTTTGGGGAAGTCACTCTAAAAAGTGCTCCGAGGGAGCAGGCAGCCACCCTCAACCTTCTTTGGGGGAGTCACCCTCTTCTGTGATCTCCTCGAGCCCCTGAACACAGGGGGGCAGAATGTCTCATCTTTAAGCCTCACATGGGGTGCCAAAATGTCCTGTCCTACAGGGCATTAAACAGGGGTCTGGGGAGGCCTTCAGTGTATAAGCAGGGCTGCCCCTGACAGGTATGCAATTTTTTAACTTAAATACCTGAAAGAAATGACTTAATTTGTTACTGTAAAATTAATTTATCCAAATATAATAAATCCCTAGTTAGTAGGTATGCATTTTTTTAAACACTGAAGAAAAATTCTGAAGGCCAGCAAAGTGGCTCAGCTATAAAAGCAATTGGTGAGCAAACCTAATGATCTGAGCTCTTCCTTAAACCTAAGAAAGAATTCTAGCTTGGGAGATAAATCGAACACAAGCAGAAGATAAATGTCTGTCTATGCCTCAGGGAATAGACAGTCTTGGACCTATAAAGGGAAAGTTGGTTGTGAAAGATAATGTAGTTTGAAAAGTGAATGTGGTAGAATTTCTTTTAGATAGCAGAAAGTGGGGATTAAAGTAGAAGATACTGTTCACATCTGTGACTGGCTGTAGCAGGGATTTGTGAGACAGTGTTTGGGACCAAAAAGCCTAGCTCTAGAAAGCTTAGAATCCCAACAAAGAATTTAAGTTTTATTTCAAAGTAAATAGGAAAGTTTTAGAAGAGAAAGATTTTCCACTCATGTAATTCAGTGAAGCACATGACGTATGAATTCATTTAGATTCTAATAGTGGCTCAATTTTGGGACATTAGAATCCTAACTTGGACATTTTATTTTATAGTGCTGTAAGCAGGTCAGAATTACCTGTTTTCGTGTGTGAAGGTTGTAGTGTAAATTAGTGGTAGATCACTCATCTATGTGTGTTCCTTAAAAAGAAAAAGCGTGAGGGAGATAGCTTCTGGGTAAAACCATACTTTTAAAAAGCAAGAATTGCTGGGTGATCAGCTGATTTCAGAAGTTGGAAAATTGCATATGAATTAAAGAAAAAAGGGTTAGCCGAGAGTGGCAAAAAGTAGGTAGAGGAAATGTATGAAATGTATTTAAAGGCCTTGTGAGTCAGCACTGTATACTGGTGGGATGGCAGGGCCTTTGAGTCCAGCATACGTGTTCAAAAAAGAACAAATAGAGGAGAGGCATAAGCAGTAGTAGAAGGAGAAAGCAAGAGTGTAAAACAAGCTTGTTTCATAGATAGTGTTACTGCTGAAAGGCAAAGTGCATTTTTTCTTACAGGCACTGACTACAAAAATAGATTATTTATGATGTCCTCAACTATGTCCTTTCTCTGTTTTGTAGGTGACAGAAAGAGAGGCTCAGAGTATCCCCAGGGTCATAAATGCTTTGTCAGTGTTGTCCAAGTCTAGAGTCCAGGCTATTCTTGTAAGGACATGCTTTACAAGCCCAGAGGAAATGTAGGGTATCATTTTTAAAGGGCTAGCAACAGGGTTTTTCACTCAGCATGTAGAATAGACTATCTTGCTGGCCAACAAGCCCTAAAACTCTGGTTTTCTTCCTGGTGTTGAAATTATAAGCAGGCCCTCCCCCATGCCACAAGCACTTTCAGCCCAAGATTTTTACCTAAGGTTTCAGGTCTTCCAGGTGGCTTTGTGAGTGACATGAGAGGTTAGGAGACAATATACCTACACATCAAACTTCTCACCTGTTTTATGTCTTCTAAGCAGCATACATGAGGAACAAGGGGCCAGACATGAGCCAGCAGTGAGCCAACAAGATAACTCAATGGGTAAAGATGCTAAGCCGAACCACATGAGTTAGATTCCTAACACCCACATAGTAGAAGAGAACTGACTTCCATAAATTGTCTTCTGATCTCCACATTTGCACTGTGGCATGCATGTGCTCATTGCTCATATACTCACAAGAGAGAGGTAGAAAGAGACAGAGAAAATGTAAAGTTAAAAGGTGGAGAAGTATGCTGGTGCTGAGAGGAAAGCAAGCTGGACATTGGCAGAACATCCTAAGCTAGTTCTGAGGATACTAACCAGCTGTTCCTGGGGATGATTCATGCTGTACTAAGATTCTCCTTTAGAGGCAGATCCAGGCCTGGGTGGGCTGAGGGAAGTGGCTGGTAGACAATCCAACCTTTCTCCCTTTACAGACATTGATCAGCTCATTACCATCAGTGGTATGGTCATCAGAACATCACAGCTGATTCCCGAGATGCAGGAGGCTTTTTTCCAATGCCAAGTCTGTGCCCACACCACCCGGGTGGAGATGGACCGAGGCCGAATTGCTGAGCCCTGCACTTGTGTACACTGCCACACTGCCCACAGCATGGCACTGATCCACAACCGTTCACTATTCTCTGACAAGCAAATGGTATGTGGCCACTCTGCAGCCGGGATAAGGTTCCTTAACACATACTGCCTCTGTCTAAAGCCTCAGCCAAATTTGTCAGTTTTCCCTCAACCTTCCTCAGTGGAGTTCTGTTCTTTCCATTTGTGTTGGTTTTGTTAATGACTTGAATTTAGAGCACACTGAGGCTTCAGTATTGCTACGTCTCAAACATTGTATAGGCTATATACAAAGGCCTGTAATTGTTTTCCATGGTACTTTTTTTTTTCTCTTTATTTTTACTCAGATCAAGCTTCAAGAGTCTCCTGAAGACATGCCTGCTGGGCAGACACCTCACACTGTTGTCCTTTTTGCCCACAATGATCTTGTAGACAAGGTTCAGCCAGGGGACAGAGTGAATGTCACAGGTAAGAATGTAGGTTTGTAACAAAAAGATGAAAGTTGTGTTAACAGGCTCTCTGATGCAGGTTTTAGAACTCAGGGTCCTGGTGGGCCCTTGCTATGTAGATCTCTCAGAACTTTGCATATGTCTCAGGAATCTAGCATCTTACTTGGACATTCTATATAAAACAATGAAATATACATTGCTGGGTGGTACAAATGTTTATGCTTTAAACCAAAGACACATCCTAACAGAAATGTAACATGTAAGGTGAATTCAGTGTTTTCAGGTGTATTGTAGTTGCCTTTAGCTCTGGAAGTATGAAGTTGTTGCATTTCAGTTTGGTAATGTTGATGTCATTACCAATGAGAGCAGCTTTAGGGAGCATTTAAAAGGAACTCAGGGACAGAATACCAACTTGGGTTCATAAATGCTTTTCTACTATTTCCTACGTGTACAGCTAAGGGTTAACATTACTTAGAGTAGGACAGAACACTTTGTACATAGGACAAAGCTATTGCTGACTTTTTGATTGTTACAGTTCATTGCCACATTAATTTGTGTTTCTAGATTCTAAATGCTATCTCAGCACACAAAGTGCCCTGTCTTCAGTGTCATTTCCATGTGGCAGTCTTTCCATATTTTGGAGGAATATGGGCACTTGGTCAAGGGTGATGGGTTAAGTAACAGCATTGTTCTTATGGGGAATTGAATCCAAGGATCCTTGACCCCTGAGTCTGCGGCTCATTGTCCAAACTTCTCAGTGAGTCAGGATTTCTTCTCCAACATAAAAAGAGAGCCATAGAATGCAATCTTGCCCCCACCCCTTGCCTTTAGCTTTCTCATCAATGCTCTATCACCTAGGACAAAACTGGACTGTTCCAAATATCATTAATAATAACCTACTCCACATTACTCTATGGGTGAGGTGTAATCTGGTTTGCATTTTTTAAGTGTTACATAAGTGCTGGTTTTTTGAAGTTTTATATTATATATTGGAGTGAAAATCAGGAAAATAGCTTATGGAAGTCCTCTTGTTCTTCCATATTGGGGCCTGAAGACTGAATTCAGGTCATCAGGCTTGGTGGCAAGTACCTTCACCTGCTGAAGCACCTCACTATAAGCTGGGTTTCTTCCATTTTTAATGAGACATTAAAACATTTAACATTGTCTTGTTAAAGGATCATGCATGATCTGCGCTATAAGGATGAGAAGATCAGCCGGGCGGTGGTGGCGCACGCCTTTAACCCCAGCACCGGGGAGGCAGAGGCAGGCGGATTTCTGAGTTCGAGGCCAGCCTGGTCTACAGAGTGAGTTCCAGGACAGCCAGAACTACACAGAGAAACCCTGTCTCGAAAAACATAAATAAATAAATAAATAAATAAATAAATAAATAAATAAATAAATAAAT